GATGGCCTCATTAGGTTGAAAGCGTTGGTATATAAGCAAATAAATGTTTCAGCAACCAAAGATGCTTAGTGAGGATTTTAGTAATCATTTTTTCTACTGAGTTTGGATTCGGTTTACAATGGTTATATTTTTACCATTATGTGTAGTCCTTATTTTGTCCATGTTTGTTTCATATCGTTTAGAAGTTGGGCTGAAGACATCATCCCTTTCTAATGATGCTGTAGCAGATGCTCGCACCGAAGAGGAGCTACATTTGAATCACTAGATCAAAATCAGTCAATTAGAAAGGCTCATGAAAATATTTCAGAGAATGTACCAAATATCACTCTTTCTCTTAGAGACTGAGCAAGAAAACTTCAATTTTATGAGGTCAAGGGTACCAAAGGTGTTCGTGTAATTCAACCAAATGAAAATCCCCCCAAAAAAGAAAAATTATGTAACTCAAAATGTTACAATAGTTTGCCATGTTTGAATAAGCAGTAAGAATTATTTAAGTTTTATACCTTTTCCCAACAATTTTTGATATTTTTGTACACATAATTATAATATTAAGCTAAAATAGATATTTCTTAGTTTCTTTATATCCATTAAATCGTTCTAATATTAATAAAACAAAGAAAACGTACTTTTGATTCATTTGATCAAAATTTGTTTAAATCCATAAGCTCCTTTATTAAATACAACAAAAGATGGAAAATTTCATGATATTTATCAAATTTATGAACTACATTTTGGAAATTATGCAAAAGTCGTTTTACAAGTAATATATTCAGCGATATCTTACCCAATTCATTTGGGAATTGTATAAAATCGCCGGAAAAAGTGAGAAATTTAGTGAAATTTAACAAATCATCAAGATGATTGGTGATTATAAATAAGAACCGGCGATTAAGCATAATCAACTTTACTATAACACATATATTCATGAAGTAGTTAACGCAGAACATATTACAATATGATTTAGTTTCTGAGATCGTTGATGGTGGTATGCCACAGACGAATATATTACACCTTTATCCATGCATGATAATTGTGTTCTGAATGATTGCAATATAACCCATTTATCCACTCGTGTCTTCAATTTATAAATACAATAATGTTTGTAACTCTCTAAACTACTGCGCAGATCTTTACAATTTACAGATTTCTACAAATGATTTAGGACCTCGGCCTGATCCTTAAGTTTTATTAATTGCGATTTTAATTACTTTTTTATTTTTCGTAATTTTTCGTCCGATGGTTCTTTTTATTTTTTATTATTATTTGAAGACAAGTTCGCCCAAATAGGAATCACCATTTCTTACTTTTGCGTTGTAGACAATACATTCCCGGCGACCGACCTTCTTTTCTAGGCTACTAGCCGCCAAAATGTTTAAAAAAGTCCTTTTAAAAACACAAAAATATTTCCAATTAAAAACAAAGATTTTTTAAAATCGGAACTGGTGTTATACGAACGTCTTCCTTGTTACCATCTTTTTTATTTACCGAAATCAGTTACCGCCAATTTTGTCCCCGTAGAACTTGGATCTGGGTGGTCTGGCAATGCTATAGCGAAGACGGTCATCACAGTGGCGTAGCGTGGATGTCAGCCGCCCGGGGCGGAGGAAAATTTCGCCTCCCCTTATTTAGGTATCTCAATTTAAAAGACTAAAATTCAGTTTCGTCACAGAATAAGTAATGAAAAATTCCATGCTAGCGTTGCCACCTTTTTAAAATCGCTGACCCGGACGGCAGGTGAGGTTTGTTCGAACAGAAGTTCCTGACGCATGCGTATGTCATTTTGCAATGCGAAGAATAATGTGCAGTGCATGCCGGTTCTAAATCAGTTACAGTTAGCGACTAGGGAGACTTGGATAGGAGTAACGCAAGTGACCTAGCTCTATTGGATATTGGAGGTGTAAATATATATATATATATACGTATAAATCGTACAAGCAAAAAAAAAAGTCGACAGGTTGCGCACGATATCCCCGGACGGCGAGTCGATTCCCGGACCATCTGGATGGTAACTATTCCGTGCTCATTTCAATCGGTCCGAATCGTAGGTGGACGAAAATATGAAATAAAATGGTTCAAATTCTTACAACATATTATTATTATTTATTGTTAAATTTTTCCGCCCCCTAAAAAGTGGCGCCCGGGGCGAGCCGCCCCTGCCGCCCCCCTACGCTACGCTACTGGGTCATCAAGGTCCTTTATACAGACTATGGCGCCATTAACAAAAATACACTGAGCAATATGCTATATCTCGGTTGAATTTTGGATCACCATGTATAAAATTTAATTGCTATAAGTTAATTACATTTTGTAACTCTTACATTTAAAAATATGCTGTAAATAGTTCAATTTATTAAGAAAATCTACATTCTACATTAAGCAGAAATTTACTGGATTATTTGTTATCGTGGGAAATACCAGTGTGTGTTTAATCACCACGAAAAAGTATAATTTTATAGTTTATGATAATCAAGAAAATGTTCTTTTATCATACTTTCCATTACATCAATTTGACTTAACAAAAAAGATTATTTTGTTATTTTTAGATTTAAATATCTTTTATTGTATAATTAAATATATAATTAAAAAGTGCATTTATTAAAGCGGTTTTAATACAGTTTTTTCTAATCTTTGACTTTTTCTCTCTGTGGGGCACTAAAAGGATCTTTTAATTATACTAATGTGGGTTTTTATTTCATTCGGCCTGTGGTCTCCAAGAGGGCCTTTTTAGCAGGACACTATTGATTTGGTTAAGCGAATGTATCCATTTGGAACATCACCCAAAAATTCCTGGGTTTCTCGACTGTCTGGATCTGATGTCGGATCTTCCATAGCAACATGCTGACTCCTCAACCGCCTCGACCATCCGACTGTCCTGTTTCAATACAACTAGAAAAACGTGCCAGTGGCATATCACGTTTCATTTGAAGTGAACTTTGCCAATAGCTTACTTAGGCAGATGTATTAAAGCCGTTTTACTAACACGCCCATTAATTAACTAGTAGAAACACATGCAAAAATAAAATCATCACAAATATGCTTTTAAAATTATTGTAATGTATTAAAAACTTAAAAGTTTTAAGTTAAAACTTAACTTTATTTCGACATTTCTAGAATTGTTTTTATATTTTAAACTTTAAAGAGGGGCAAAAATTCATTTTATATGTTTAGAACACTCAAGCGACAATTTGAAGACAAATAGAAGATAGATTAATTCAAAATGCACGCTAATTAAAAAATCTAAAAATCAAATCGCAAACTCCTTAATATTACAACCTTAAATGTTTTCGTTTTGAATTATTTCAGATAAATGAAGGGTCAAAAATGTACGTTTGCTAAAGCGCTTCAAATTTAGGCGCCAAAATATAAATTTAAGTTTATGGAAAAGGAAAGAAAACAGATCAATTTATAGCATAAAATAATTTATTAAAAATGTATTGAAGGAATGAGGAATTAAACTGTTTATTTGCAAAAACCCGCAAGTATATTCATCTCTGCCCCTACATCTAAACATGTTACATGAGTTCAATCAGGGAACTGATACATCTCATCCACTGCAGATATCTGATAATTACATCCCGTTACAAAACATGCAGACAGCATATTTTGTTTCAATTTTAATTTATACTTTTAAATAGTTTGTTTGGGCAATACTTTTTGCATTTACACTTCTTTGTTTTGTTATTATGAAATTGACTTTGTTTTAAAAAATTTATAGCCAAGAAACTATAGAAATTAAAGTGGTTTAATAAATTTCTTGTGTTGAAAATATATATATATATATATATATACGTATAAATCGTACAAGCAAAAAAAAAAGTCGACAGGTTGCGCACGATATCCCCGGACGGCGAGTCGATTCCCGGACCATCTGGATGGTAACTATTCCGTGCTCATTTCAATCGGTCCGAATCGTAGGTGGACGAAAATATGAAATAAAATGGTTCAAATTCTTACAACATATTATTATTATTTATTGTTAAATTTTTCCGCCCCCTAAAAAGTGGCGCCCGGGGCGAGCCGCCCCTGCCGCCCCCCTACGCTACGCTACTGGGTCATCAAGGTCCTTTATACAGACTATGGCGCCATTAACAAAAATACACTGAGCAATATGCTATATCTCGGTTGAATTTTGGATCACCATGTATAAAATTTAATTGCTATAAGTTAATTACATTTTGTAACTCTTACATTTAAAAATATGCTGTAAATAGTTCAATTTATTAAGAAAATCTACATTCTACATTAAGCAGAAATTTACTGGATTATTTATTATCGTGGGAAATACCAGTGTGTGTTTAATCACCACGAAAAAGTATAATTTTATAGTTTATGATAATCAAGAAAATGTTCTTTTATCATACTTTCCATTACATCAATTTGACTTAACAAAAAAGATTATTTTGTTATTTTTAGATTTAAATATCTTTTATTGTATAATTAAATATATAATTAAAAANTTTCAAAAATAAGATTGCGAAATTTCCTACTAGCAGATATATATGAATATTAGTCAAAATTTGTATAGTAATGAAAGATTAAGAAAATAAATACTCCCTAATTAACGAGTGCTTAATAAAATGCATCGAATCTACAAATAAAGGCAACAAAAAGCAATATAATTAACTGATAGAAGATATGTTTTTCCATACATTTTTTTTCCATATAAAGTGAAGTAAACAAAATCCCACGCACTCGGAGATGAGTCAGTTTTGACATCCAAAGTTAAAATTAAAATGACTTCTAAATAACACGATAGATATTTATTTTAAATCTATAATGTTAAATATATATATTATTATTACATAAATTTTATTTATCCAAAAAGGACAATTTTATAAATAAAAATCTGTAATATTTAGTCTAAATTAGAATCTAAATTCATGATATAAACAAGATTTTGAATGATAATTAAAAGGAAATTATAATTGAATTGAATAAATGTTTAAATAACGCAAAACCACGTTCATTAATACAATTTAGAGAAAAAAATGAATTATTACCTGATCCAGAAGAAAATAATACATATAAAAATGGATAAAAGTCCAGCTCCGAAGAAATACATTTTAACTACAACCTATAACACGAGAGTGGCTGATTATATTTTACTGTTCAAGGTTGTAATATGACGCAGCAGGATTAGATTAGATATATTGCTGCTTCCTGAACGAATAGAAATTTGAATGCATTGCTTTTTTATTAAATAAGAAATAATTTAAACTTTTCTGAATTGTTTCTTTTTTCTTAATTCATTATTTCATTTGATTTTCTGTAAAATGTACCGAAAGATTAACGTCATTACTGAGCGAAATAATAAATTTTATTTCGCTCAGTAATGAAGTAAAACTGTATTATTTGAATACATTGTAAATAATAAAAATAATAATAAATTAATTTTACTAATATTTTAATTAATTTTTTTTCTGCATTTATTAATTAATATGCTAAAGAATTTAAAAATTTCAATTAAAATGGCTGACAGTATTTTTGGAAATTTTTCCTTTAGGACGGGAAAAACTTGGAAGATTTATGCAATCGTCTAAACTCTAAAGTATGTTACATTGAAAATACAATTAATAAACCACCTCTTACATTACCTGTAAAATTTATATTACAATTATTAATGAAATAGCAAGAGACATTCCTTTTATTTTAACAGACCACACATTTCATAATGAAATAATTATTTTCACAGCGCAATACTAAAAATGCCAGTAATGAGTTCCTTAACTTTTCCGGCAATATCTAAAACAGCGTGTGCGCTATCTGTTACGATATTTTATTTTTAATCATTATAAAATGGAAAAAAGCTTAATTTTGAGCGTATGGATGGGTTTTATAAAAAAATTTGTAAATGCTAATAACGAGTAAAATCGTAATTAATTAAGTTCGACCTTACTCGAGATATAACACACGATCCCACCCTATGTTTTATCATCTCACGTCACTCCGTAGATCGTTATCCACCAAAATTTAATAACATCAAAACATTTATTACTCAAACCTCCCTGCAAAATTTCAGAAATTTTCGACAAAAAATATAGGAGTTATTAAAGTTCAAAGAGGGTGAACAAAATCGTTCTTCCCACACACACACACAAACATACAAACATTAACAACCATACATGAATTTTCTTGGATTCGTAAAAATCATGAGTGATCAGTATTTGACCGATCGCCATACTTTCCCTCTGTTATATACATATAACTGAGCTGAGAAAATAAAAGTAAAATAAAAAAAACATATCATGGACCAAAATCCTGCAACACAAGAAAACTAAGACGAAGGTCCTGTAACTATGATTAAATACAAAAAATTATAATATAACAATTTGATGTTTTACATAGAAAACAAGGCCGTATTTGGGACAAGACTATGTCTCGAAGACTCACTACTAAGCGGGATTACTTTGACACTCAAGCGGGTCTCATTCTCATTCTGCACTCTTCTTTGATATCTCTGGTTTTGAGCGCGATCTTTCAAACTTCGCTGGCCACGACCACGAGGTCGTTCACAAGGCATTTTCGGTGAAATGCATTACTGGTGCTCCAATCTATACTTCTAGATTGCGAGGTGGTAGTCTAACTGGTTCCAAAGAGTTTAAAAACTTCATTCGGTACATTACTATCTGATCTATCTCGAAAACGGAATCGATGGACTTGTACGTTGTATAAGCTTCTGGAAGTTATGCTTGAATAGTTGAATATACAGTACAAATTTAGTACGGCAACGCATTTTTAGATGCCAATATGGCTCTCACATATATTAATTTATGGTTAATGTAGCAAGTGTTATCAAATTAGAATCCGGATCTTCAGTGAATTTGCCATCGCCGAGACGCAAAAATTGTTAAGCAAAATTGTCTGTAGATCTGCTTTCTAATAGATGGACCCTAATATTCATTGAAAAGGACAACTTTTTAACGTGATTCCACAGTGAATGATGTCTTTAGGCAGACATGAAGCTAGTCGGCAGATGTCGGCAGGCAAACCAACAACAACAACAGCATTTATTTATGATTTTTGCCAACATATGGTGCTACATGTAAAAGCAGCAAGTCGTATGAGGAAGCTATATACTACACCCAATATTGTGGGATAATATATAGCTTAGTATCGATACAAGTGTGTAAGATACTCACACAAACTTTGGTCCATATAGGTTTAAAAATAAAGATTTGTATAAAGGACAAACCAACAAACCATGAAAAGAACTCTAAAATATTGATAGAAAAATCCCTATTATTTGTGATATCCTCACAATACCAGGATGCAGTTTGTAATTATATTTTAATTTAAATAAAAATTTTGAATTGAAATTGCGCGACTTTCTGTCCAAACTGGAAGTTCATATACAGTCGACCCCAGATAAGACAGTAGATACGTTCCGTATTTTATGAAATTGATGTTCTAGGAGACCTTGCCAATCACAGCCCGACATGTGTGAAGTTTACGGACTACGGCTGTTTGAAAAGTTTCCTTCCATAAAATTAATCGATTCCTAGACTAATTCGACTCAACATTTCCAAAATACGTATATTTTTGGGGAATAATCTGTATAAACTATGCTATAAACAAAAAATTGTAGGATTACTTACCGAGTGTGCACCGTTCGACGTCGCCATTGCTTAAGCTTGTTTTCGTCGCGGAGCAGCGCACCAAATGGCGGGCGCATTTCTGATAAGTTATTTTTCTGCGAAAACTTCGTTGAGCTTTGGAGACATCATTAATATAAATAATTTTTATGGCTGTTGAATAAGAAATGTTTCTTTCACAAGAAATGTATAAAATTAGTGCTGTATTAGACTTACGGTACCTAATTTACATACTGTACAGACGATAGTAAACTCAACTTACTCACCTAAACTCTCCGTAGCGTGGCGCTGGACGGCGGAAAGTAGTTCGGCTGCCCGATGACGTTTTACCGAATTATAGGAGTTTTTTTTACCATGTTTGTACGGATACAGTCGCAATTTTTTCGCCTTCATATAGGAATCCGAATTATAGGAATCCGTGTTATAGGGGGGTCGACTGTATTGTAAATTACGAAGATTACGGAGATTAACGAAGGACAGGCAGCCAGTGAGAATGTACAGATCTTCAAATTGAAATTGCAGCCCAACAAGCAACTTGTAATAAACAATAGATATCTAAAATGAACTGGACTGATGATAATAGTTGTAACGTATTATTTATAAGTAATGCATACTCATTATAACTTCATGGTACAAATGTACAGTACTGTACAATAGACTATTACAATGAATGACTGCAATCTAAGTAGATTGGATACATTTATGATATCAGTAGCGTTCAATGAGAAGCATTGTCTCTATTCAAACTGAGCTTGAAAAAACGCAAGAGACTCGATTCTGGCCATTCATGGCCATAAAAAGATTCTCTATAACGAATTACAGTCGATCCCCCTATAAGATATAGATACGTTCCATTCTTTAGGAATCCGATTTCTTACGAATCCTTCCAATCACAACCCGAACGTGTCAAGTTTACGGACTACGGCTGTTTGAAAGATTTTCTTCCATAAAATTAATCGATTCTAGACTAATCCGACTCAACATTTCCAAAATACGTATATATTTTTTGGGAATAATCCGTATAAACTACGCTATAAACAAAAAATTGTAGGATTACTTACCGAGTGTGCACCGTTCGACGTCGCCATTGCTTAAGCTTGTTTTCGTCGCGGAGCAGCGCACCAAACGGCGGGCGCGATTTCTGATAAGTTATTTTTCTGCGAAAACTTCGTTGAACTTTGGAGACATCATTAATATAAATAATTTTTATGGCTGTTGAATAAGAAATGTTTCTTTCACAAGAAATGTATAAAATTAGTGCTGTATTAGACTTACGGTACCTAATTTACATACTGTACAGACGATAGTAAACTCAACTTACTCACCTAAACTCTCCGTAGCGTGGCGCTGGACGGCGGAAAGTAGTTCGGCTGCCCGATGACGTTTTACCGAATTATAGGAGTTTTTTTTACCATGTTTGTACGGATACAGTCGCAATTTTTTCGCCTTCATATAGGAATCCGAACTATAGAAACCCGTGTTATAGGGGGGTCGACTGTATTGTAAATTACGAAGATTACGGAGATTAACGAAGGACAGGCAGCCAGTGAGAATGTACAGATCTTCAAATTGAAATTGCAGCCCAACAAGCAACTTGTAATAAACAATAGATATCTAAAATGAACTGGACTGATGATAATAGTTGTAACGTATTATTTATAAGTAATGCATACTCATTATAACTTCATGGTACAAATGTACAGTACTGTACAATAGACTATTACAATGAATGACTGCAATCTAAGTGGATTCGATACATTTATGATATCAGTAGCGTTCAATGAGAAGCATTGTCTCTATTCAAACTGAGCTTGAAAAAACGCAAGAAACTCGATTCTGGCCATTCATGGCCATAAAAAGATTATAACGAATTATTCATACACCACAATTAATAGAAATTTTTATACGTCTTCTAAAACAGAAAAATCTATTTAATAATTTCCTTTGTTATGAATTTTAGATTCAGAAATTACATTTTAAATGTATATCTTGTATCAGCTTGTTGGGCCACTAGACCACATGGGAATAAAAAAATTACCTGAAAAATTATATTTTTTAAATAAATATTTTTTAGATTCAAATTTATTCGTGTTATGATGTTAAATGGTGAGATATTGTGATTCGATCACAATTTATATTGTTTTTTATAATTAAATTTAAAATTTGAACGAGCAATTATTTATTGTTACACCGTGACAATGCCGGGCTGCAATTTTTAATTATGTTTTTAATTTATTTTATTTAAAATATATACTCGCCACCTAAAATAAGTAGTGGTTTGCACCTGTACATCATGCGTTTCCTTTCACAATAGTCGTATCGGTCGTCTATTGATTACTTTCAGGGGTAAAGATTTAAATTAAAATAGCATAATTTCCGGTTTGTATCGGAAGTTTATATATAGTTAATCGGGGCCTCCTTATCCTAGGATTTTCATATCTTCTCTCGGATTTCATATTACTCTGTTCTTGATATTAAGAAAAGACAGACTGACAGACGGACGGACGAACGACAGTGGGAATTTATGCCTACAATTT